AAAAATGTAAAATAACGAGTAAAATTATATATTGAAAAAACGTTAAACCAACAACTATTGTGACTGTATTTTAGGAAATTGTGTAACATAAAATAGTGAAAATGAAGAAACGAAGTTGACGTGTGCGATGAAGCGCACCAAAGTAGGGTGAGCTTATGTGGATCTTAATATAGTTCCATCCTAAAATCAATTAATGGTAGGAAGAGTAGTTCATTAGGCTTATAAGGCAAGTTTATTTTCAATGTATAGACGATGTTGGACAACTTATAAGTGTATATTCTAAAAGAAAACTAGCTTAATGCTCACGTTGAGTTTGAACCGTTTGATCATACTTGCATACACTATTGTGTGTTGATTTAACGGTTGATACTTCTATTGTGAGTTGTACGCCAATTGGTAAGTTGAATAAATTACGATATGGTTTGCTTTTGGGCGAAATTTCTCATAAAATATTTTCTTTGATTTATTTCCATTTTTATTCTACTGTTATGCAGGTCTAATCATTAAACCGACATACCTTTTTTTTTCTTTTTTATATACATACTGATATTTTTATTAAAAAAGCATAATATCTTAAAAATCAACATAAGCGAAAGTATAACACTTGAAAGTATAAATATTCATTTTTATTCATAGAGTATAATTGATCGACCCGCCATATAATTAGGTAGGTAATACAATAATTTGTGTTCCTAGGTCACCAACTAATGATAATTGAAGCAACCCAATTAATATTTTTTTTGTTTCCCAATTGGTGGATAACAGGTCAAACAAAATTAATTATTGTAGTTAATTAAACTCCATCAGAGCTGTGGAAGATATTATTTTATGCGAAGAGAAGTTCAATAATTGTCATCTTGATTACATTTTTTTTATTGACACTTGTCTATGCTGATAACATCAAGATTATACATAAATAAGACCTAAGATATTTATTTAATGAAGGAGATAAATTTAATGAATGTCTTGATAACCAAGATTTGTTTGTTGCATTAAATTAAATTATTACTGAAAAATGAATGTCCTCCATTGGTTAGCTTGTTTTCTTGGACAAAAAATGAAGCTAATTTAGATTGGGTTTGGAATAAAATGTGTGGTAGTTAAACTTAGCATTGTCCTATTAAATTTCTTGGCCTTTTTTTTGTTTTTTTTTTGTTTTTTTTTTTTTAATATCTTGAGTCTTGAGCATGATATATGAACCAGCATTGCATGTGCTCTTTTCATTATCTAATTAATGGTACAAGTCAAGTCAGTACAAATGATTGTTCTCATTTATTTATTTTTCTCTTTTCCTTTTATTTTTTTGGTTCAATTTGTCTATATTAATCTATATATATATAATTACTATCTCTTCTACATTTAAAAAAACCTCATAAATTATACCTAGGTGGCACTTTTACATTTTCCCTCCAAAAACCGTTACTTTTCATTTATTTAACCTAATTAATAGATAATCAATACACTAATCAATTTAAAATACAAAAATCATTTTGAACTTTTGATGACTAACAGTTAACCATATAATGTGTTACCGTATAATGTGATTAGATATTATTATTGTGGTCACATGTAAATTATTTTTTTTTGGAAAATAAAAAAAGTATATGAAAGTCCTAAATAAATTATAAATAATTTTTAAAAAAATACATACCAAAATATACGTTACATCCAATCTAATAAACGCAATTTTAAAAAATAAAAATCAACTCCTTTAATTGTAATTTTGGCTGCAAAAATGTGAATAAAAATAATTAATCATTATATGCATGCAAATAACTCACAGTATTTTATTTACATTTATGCAAATGCACAGGTAGAATACTAGTTATTGGTTAAAACAAGGGTGTTGCTATTTGCCGCCCCATTATTACTACGTACCGCCCCCTTCGACAATTTTGCCACTAACACTTTTTCAAAAAAGTTAAAAAAAAAATCTTGTCGTTTGACCGGTAAAACTGGCCATGCACGGCGCCGTCCGGTTTCGCCAGTAGAACGTGACCATGCACGTCCGCGATCTCCGGTAGGACGCGACCGTGCACGGTCGCAATCTCCGGCCGGACGACATATTTTTTTATAATCAATTTTTTTTTATTATATTAGAATTTTATTATTATGATGTATTAGAATTTAGAAATTATTATACTATAAATAACTATTAAACTACAATTTATCTAAATTAACCTAAATTAACCTAAATTAAAAGATTAAGTGAATTTTATTTTTAATATGTATACTAATACAACCAATTTATATATATATATATATTGTATTTTTAAATTATTTTGTTAATTAGATTAAATATAATTAATTAATTATATTTTTAATAATTAATATATATTATAATTATATTTTTTATACTTATTTATAAAAAATATATTTTTTTTATAATTATATTTTTTTATATATATACAACTAATTTATATATATATATATATATATATATATATATATATATATACAATTAATTGAATAATTAAAAAAAAACTGTCCGGCCGCTGGTGGACTACCGGCGGGGCCGAAAGAGATAGTGGGAGAATGAGAGAACGAGAGAAAGAGGTAAATGGCAAAAAAGTAATCGAAGGGCGGTACATAATAATAAGATGGCTATGGGAGAATGAGAGAACGAGAGAAAGAGGTAAATGGCAAAAAAGTAATCGAAGGGCGGTACATAATAATAAGATGGCTATAAATAGCATTGTACGAATTGACCAACTTATTAAGGCAGTATGTTTCTACTCACTTTCCCAAATAAATACATAAAATTGATAATTTAAATTTTTTTTTACAATTAATATTTATTTATTCGTAACTCCGGAATGACATCTTATTTAATTTTTTGAACAAATTCAAGACTTTTTAATTTTTTTTTTTATTTTGTTTTATTGAAATATTAACCCTGGAGTTGAGATTTGGTTGTAGATTTCATGTAAATATTATTTGAAATACCAATAAGCCATAAAAAGTCAAAATATACTATAATAGTAATTTTTTTTTGAAAGTTTTACAAAATCTAAATTAAAATACCTCATAACAATTAACTTTCTAAAAATCTTAAATTTTGGAAAAAAAAGAAAAGCCATGACTGAATATACATCTCTTTCTATCATATTTCATATCCATTTATGGCTCTTAAAAGAAAAGCCAACAAGTTAGTTGATATTTTTTTTTTTTT